AAACGTGTTCTTGCAGTTGGCGCGAGCACAAGAAGAAGTCAATCTGCCCAAAGTGCTCCGGTGTGGCTGGATCTGATGGCCGGGACCCCACATTGTAGCATGTGATTTGCTCTTCCGGCACGTGGTCGAAGAACGTGTTGCTGACCACCAAATCGCGAGACACACAAAATTCCAGCAAGAAGCTCCTGTTCGACTCCGGGTTGAACTCCGCTCCGGGGTTGCCGAAAATATACGGGCCTAGACGCTCCTCCTCGGAAGGGAAACGTTTGTGAAGTCTCGCGTTGAAGTCCCCCAGCAATAACTTGCCTCCATGGCCGGACGTGTTACGAACAATCACGTCCAAAGAATTGTAAAAATCACGTCTGTCTGTCACTGGCTTTCCGCTATGGGGCGCGTATACACTGAAAATTGGGATTTTACCTCCTGGAACCCTGATCTCCGCGACAGCGACCCTGGAAGATATCATACGGAACCCAATAATACTCTCATGAATACGTAGGGAAAATAAGAAACCCACTCCAGCTGTATCTTGGTCTTCGTGGTCCCCCGATAGCACCAATAGGTAACCCCGGTTAGTGACAGTATACGTTGACTCGCTCTTGTGCGTCTCCTGGAGCGCCAATACATCGATGGCCCGACTCCGCATAAGAATTTGTAGCTCCTCCAGCTTCGCTTCTGTCAGCCCCTCGACGTTCCAAGAGCCCACGGCGACACCATCAGTGCATGGACGTAGCCGCCCGCCTCGGAAATCAGGAACCCCCTCTTCATGTAGCACATCCCCTCTTCTACTCCTTGTTGTGGAACTTATACTTGTACTGGTATTCCGTGCGTGCAGGCTTTGCGGATGAATTCTTAAACGATCGTTCATAAGTGCAGTATTGCCGACTGCGGGTGAAACGTCACTGATCAAATGCGTTTGTCAATGATGTGGGCCGCTCCCCTTGGCCCCTCCTTTTGCCCTCCCCTTCAGGCCCTGGGCAGCCCGAGCCACAAGGTCGTCCGCCTTCTTCGCCAACTCCTTCATCTCCGGGTGATTGTGGAGCTCCGCCCAAGTAGACCATTCGCCTTGCCATTGATAGGCCACGCTGTGGTCGACAATCTTCGCTGTCAGCGCGTGCTCGCCTCCCACGGTCACCACGTACGGCGCCTCCTCGCTGACAGAGATAGTGTAGCCGATCTGCCACTCGTCCTTCAAAAGGCGCTTGAGCCCGAGGCAGTAGTTCCGGGCAGCACGGTCCGTTGCTGAACGGTCCTGGGAGGCCCAGACCTTCTTGTCCCCTGAGGTGTAGCCCGCGGTGCGGAGAAGCTCAACAGCTTTGTCCCGCGAGCTCATGTTGGAGAACTCCACGAAAGCGATTCTTGTGAAGGTCCCTTTGGAATAGATTTTCGCTGGGGGAGGGGCTGAGAGTGTCTTCAACTTCTCTTGTAACCACTCGGCGGCCGTCGACAAGTCGCCAACGCCGTCTAAATTCCCCACCACCATTGTAACGAAGCGCTTGTTGGCGGGCTGGTCTGAGGAGAGAGTGGAGCCGTGGGGGGGGTCATTGCTCGCCATAGCCATCTTGATGCGATCGTCGACGAGCTTACCTATCTCCTCGCTGGTCATGGGCATTGTCTTCAGCATCTCCTCCATCTTGTCAATGCGCAGATCGGCATCGATAACGCTAGCCTCGATGTTCTCCAGGCGGCTGGTCAGAGTCTCGCTCAAGGACGTGACCTTGATGTCCAGCTTCCCGAAGTCCCTCCGCAGAGCGTCCACGATGGAGGTCATGGGGGCCAGCTGCTGCTTCAGGAGGGCTGCAATGCCGCCCATCGTCACGGGCTCTGTGTCCACGGCAGCGGCGTCGGCACCCGAGAAATCTGGCTGCCGGAAGGGGTTCGCGAGCTGATCCTTCACCTCGCGGTCCGAGTCACCGTCCATCTCCTGAAGTGGGCTCCTGAGGCGGGCCCGCTTGTCGGCGGGGGTGTCGAGGGCCACGACGACTGGCGCTGCACCGGAGGACGTCCCGCCTAGAGCTTCACGCACAGGAGTGCCCGGCTGGCGAGTGTTGGCTGGCATGACTGGGAATGTGGTGTAAGAAGTGAGTAACAGAAAGAAGAAAGAGTAATGAAAAAATGTGGTGATTGACCACCCCAGCGACAAGCTCAATACCTAACCGCCCAGCTACAGGCTCAATTTGGATGGCTTGAGCCAAAATCCGCGCGTGGCCCTCACTGTGCTGGGCCCCCCAGCAGGCCTCGAAAATGGCGGCAGTTTCACATATCGCAGCCCCCCAGGGATGGCGAGGTCTAATTTGGGTCCGATCGTCGCCCTCACTGTGCAGGGCCCCCCAGCAGGCCTCGAAAGTGGCGACAGTTTCACAGATCGCAGCCCCCCAGGGATGGCGAGGTCTAATTTGGGTCCGCCCGTCGCCCTCACTGTGCTGGGCCCCCCAGCAGGCCTCGAAAATGGCGACTGTTTCACAGATCGCAGCCCCCCAGGGATGGCGAGGTCTAATTTGAATCTGCGTGTCGCCCTCACTGTGCTGAGCCCCCCAGCAGGCCTCGAAAATGGCGACAGTTTTACAGATCGCAGCCCCCCCAGGGATGGCGAGGTCTAATTTGAATATGCGCGTCGCCCTCACTGTGCTGGGCCCCCCAGCAGGCCTCGAAAATGGCGGCAGTTTCACAGATCGCAACCCCCCAGGGATGGCGAGGTCTAACTTGAATCTGCGCGTCGCCCTCACTTCGCTGGGCCCCCCAGCAGGCCTCGAAAATGGCGACAGTTTCACAGATCGCAGCCCCCCGCAGGCAAGACAGGAAGAGGCAGGGAGGGAGGGAGGAGGAGGAAGGAAGGAGTGGAGACCACACTTCTCTATTCAAAACGAATACCCAACCAAGGAGGGTTGGGAATATACATATATATATATACATATATATACATATGTGTATGTGTATGTATGTGTATGTATGTATGTATGTATGTATGTATGTATGTATGTATGTATGTATGTATGTATGTGTGTGTGTGTGTATGTATGTATGTATGTATGTATGTATATGTATGTATAAAAATGTGTGTATGTATGTATGTATGGATGTGTATACATATGTATATGTATAGATAGGTGTGTGTATATACACAGGTGCGTATGAATGTATGCACATATATATATATATGTATTTATAAGTTATATATATGTGTGTACAAGCATGCAAATGTAAATAAGTACATACATGATGCATGCATGTGCATATATATATATACACACAACTACAGATGCGCAGGCATATACATAGACGTATAGATATGCGTGTGTATATATACATATATACAGATGTACAGTTATACGTAAGCATGTGAATATGCCTATCTTTTTGCATACACATACATATGCATATACATATAGGTGCATGATTATATACATGCAAATGCACACGCCCATCTATATCTGTATAAATATAGCCGTACACATAGTTACATGTGGGATGATGCATGTACGTGTGCATATGCATATTCATGGACATATGTATATGCACGTGTATGTTTACATGGTTATAACTACCGATGCGCCATTGTATCACTAATAAACATATATATATATATATATATATGTGTGTGGATGTGTATTCGCAAATACCTGTAATCATACATATACATCTACACATACATATACCTATGCATAGTCATAGTCAGGTTCAAAGTCATTTTCGCATACATGCACAAACACATAAACATGTACACCTACAAAAGGCAAATACGCATGCGTATATTCTAGAAATACACGCACGAGTCCATGTAGAAATACAGATGCATCTACTGGACCTGCACATACACCTATGCATAGGCATGGACATCTACATGTACATATACATATAGTACAGACATATATATATATATATACACATATTCATATACATGTATACAAGCATGCATGTGCAAACATGCAAGCAATACCTGCATATGTGTATACAAGCGCGTATAAAATACATATAGATAGATCGGTGTCTCTCTATCTCTCAGTATGAAGATTTGGCTACATACATTGAATCGGTACATATGTATAGTTATATGTCTCTCTCCCTGTTTTCCTTACTCGCTCTCACGCTATCTCTCTGTCTCTGTCTCTCTATCTCTCTCTCTCTCTTTCTGTTGCTCTGTCCGCCTCAGTGTTCATCATCCTCCTCCTAACTGGTTCCCGTGCTCACTAACACATATAGATATACATCTGCATCATCATCCTACTCGAGAAATGTTGATACTTCTTTTCCTCCTCCTTCTCCTCCTCTTTCTCCCCTCAAAAATCATTACATACTACCTCCCCCTTCCCATGGTCTGCCTCATCCCCATGCCCCTTGCTCGCACCTCTTAGTCAAGTCAACTTGCCCGCTCCAGTGGACGCTGGTGCCTCCAACCCGTCTCTCCCTCGCCCCCTCCATCCCCATCCCATCCCACTCCCTCGCTCCCACTCTCCCTCGCCATCCCACTCTCCTTCGCCCATCCCATCACATACCGTCTCTCCCTCGCTCCCTCCATGCCGTCTCTCCCTCAACCCCATCCATCCCCATCCTCTCCCATATTGTCTCTCCCTCGCCCCCTCCATGCCGTCTCTCCCTCGCCCCCATCCATCCCCATCCCTCCCATACCATCTCACTCCCGATCCCGCCCCCCTCCCCAGCGGAGCGCAGAGGGAGATGGCGCGCGGGGGAGGGGGGGCTTCTGAGACGACAGGGTGCTTCCAAGAAGGGCTCGGTCATTGCTGCACGTGACAGTGCGCACGGTTTGTATATTGTGCCTTCGAAAATGTTCGATCGCAATTAGCACTTCCATCTGCTGCTCGCGCTTGATTCTCTGCGCCGCTGAATCAAAACAAGGGCTCGGAGGCTTCTCACACGGTTCGCCAGAGCGCGGAAGGGTTTCTACGATGTTGTGCCAACATCTCCTCCCAAAAGTCAATCACCCACTCCGCGCCACCCCCATGCGCGTGCCGCCAACTGCCATTCCGCGGCGCTCCGCGCAGGCGAAGGCGAACGACTACTACGAGTCGCTCCACTACCGGGTCTGGGCCCTGTTCAAGCAAGCCTATTTGGACCAGGACCCGCTCGCCGGGAGAGACCGCGCTCTTCTTCCTCCTCCTCCTCCTCCTCCTCCTCCTCCTCCTCCTCCTCCTCCTCCTCCTTCTCCTCCTCCCCCTCCTCCTGCTCCTCCTCTCCTCCTCCCCCTCCTCCTCCTCCTCCTCCTCCTCCTCTTCCTCCCCCTTTTCCTCCTCCTTCTTCTCCTCCTCCTCCTCCTCCTCCTCCTCCTCTTCCTCTCCCCTCCTCCGCCTCCTCCTCCCTCCTCCCCCTTTTACTCCTCCTTCTCCTCCTCCTTCTCCTCCTCCTTCTCCTTCTCCTCCCCCCTCCTCATTATTATCCTCCCTCCTCCTCTTCCTCCTCCTCCTCCTCCCACTCCTCTTCCTCATCGTCATCCTACTCCTCTCCCTTCTCACTGCGTCACCAGGACGTGTGACTCTCGGACAACCCGAGCACTCGTCGCAACCAGGTCACGGCTATCGACATGCTCAACTTTGGATTATATCCTCGACAGGCAGGTGGCTGGCTCGATCGCACAGCCCTCTCCCCAAGCTTTTAGGGGCCGCCTGTCCTGGAGCGTTCGGTCCCTGTGTAGGCTGAGTCTTTCTTAGCTTGGGGCGAGGTTCAAGGCGTGGTTTTTGTCAGGCGCCCCACCCGCTCCCAGACTTCGCCGTTTCCGCCGCTCCTGCGGTCCTCAGGTTGCACGCGTTGTAAATGCTCGTGCACTCGGACGCCTTTCTCGTTCGCTTCCTCGCTCGCTCCCTCCTCCGCACAGCGCGTCTCTCCTCCTCTTCCTCCTCCTCCTCCTCCTCCTCCCCCTCCCCCTCCCCCTCCTCCTCCTCAGTGTCCTCCTTATCATCATCATCATCATCATCATCATCATCATCATCATCATCATCATCATCATCATCATCATCATCATCATCATCATCATCAGCATCATCAGCATCATCATCATCATCAGCAGCAGCAGCATCAGCATCAGCATCAGCATCATCATCATCATCGTCATCATCGTCATCATCGTCATCATCGTCATCATCATCATCGTCATCGTCATCGTCATCGTCATCGTCATCACCATCATCAGCATCATCAGCATCATCAGCATCATCGGCATATGCATCAGCAGCATCATCATCATCAGCATCATCATCAGCAGCATCATCATAATTGTCCTCCTCCTCTTCCTCCTTTCCTTCCTCAGCTGAAGGCGAACACCGCATGCCTAGGCAGCCTGCAGTCCAGATGTTGAATATTCTGTCAGGGTGCGATAGGGCGTCTGACAGGTGGCCCAGCATACATGTAGTACGGAGGGACCCGCTTGGCGGTCTTATTTTGAAGAGGAACTGGAGGCCCCCTACTGAGCACCTGCCTACCTACCTCCTTACCTGCCGACCTACTTACCTACCTAATTACCTACCGACCGACCGACCTGCCTACCTCGTCCCTACCTACCTGCCTACCTACTCCTCCTCATCCTCCTCGTCCTCCTCCGCCCCGCTCTCCACGTCTCCCGCCCGCGCATGAGCACGCGGACAGGGAGGGGGTATGGGGAAGGAGGAATGAGAGGAAGGAGAGGGAAGGAGGGACGAGAGGGAGCGAGGGAGGGCCAAAAGGGCCGCACACGGGCCGCTTGAGAGGCCACAGCGCGGTCGCCGCCACCCTCTGGAGCCGCGCCGCGCGCACGGGGGCTTTCGTGGACGCTGGGTGCCACGGCGCCGAGCTGTACGTTCAGAACGCGAACGGGGACGCTGAGGAGAGGATCACGGACCTCGTCGTTGCGTGGCCCGCGTCTGGTCGACATGTTCTGCCAGACGTCACTGCCCGCTCCTCACTCGACAGCGAGCTCAGCGACCAGCACCTGCTGCCTGGCGTCGCTGCGCGCAAGGGCGAAAAGGCCAGGCTCTCCCACTGCGGCCCTTCCGTCACTGCGTTCGCCGTGGAGATCTTCGGCCGCACGGGCCCGGCCGCCCTACACGCCCTCGCTGCGATGCACAAGGTCAGCGGCGACTGCAGGAGGCTGCGGCGGGGCACAGGCGGGGCCTCGGCGCTCCACCTGCGCGCTGCGCGGGCCGGAGCCAGCTCGATCCAAGCCTTGGGCTGGGTGGGCTGGCGGGCCCCCGCGTGCGGCCCGCGCCGGAGCTGGAGCCGGTGGGGAAGGCGAAAGGCTTGGCAGGTGTGGGGGGAGCAGGCCCGTGGTCGTTCCGGCAGACGGCAGGCTGGTGCGTTCGAGGGCGGGAGGGAGGCAGGGCGGGCGGGCGGCCGGGCGGCCGGGCGGCCAGACGGGCGGGCGAGCGGGCGGGCGGGAGGGAGGGGGGAGGAGGAGGAGGAGGGGAAGGAGGACGGGGAGGCGGCGGAGGAGGAGTACAAGGACGAGGACGAGAGAGGAGGAGGAGGAGGAGGAGGAGGAGGAGGAGGAGGAGGAGGAGGAGGAGGGAGGAGGAGAAGAAGCGTTGAGGCGGACGGGGAGGAGGAGCGGAGGAGGAGAAGCCCCTCCCCTCCTTCCGACAAACGCGACGACGACGACGACGACGACGACGACGACGACGACGACGACGGCGACGGCGACGGCGACGGCGACGGCGACGGCGACGGCAGCAACGGCGACGGCAGCAACGGCGACGGCAGCAACGGCGACGGCGACGGCGACGGCAGCAACGGTGACGGCGACGGCGACGACGGCGACAGCGGCGACAGCGACGGTGACGGCGACGGCGACGGCGACGGCGACGGCGACTGCGACAGCGACAACGACAACGACGACGACGGCTCCACGTGCGAGCGGAGGACACGTGGCAGCGGCTGCCCGTGGCGCGCAGCTACAGCCTGCTGCGCACCGGGCGCTTGCAAGCGGTGCTGCCCAAGGCCGCGGCCAAGCAG